CTGGATCCCAGGACGCCAGCAATAAATCCTTAAACCCTTCATGTTTCATCCATGCCGCCTCAAACCGAAAGGGTCTCCTCCTCGGATCTAGATCCTGCTGTGGACATAACTGCACATAAAGGGGAGCGTGATCTGATGACAGAAAAGGGATAATTTAGAAAGAAATATTATAATTTTATAATTAGAATTTTATAACCAAGTTAATTAGAATTTAGAAAGAAATATTATAATTTTTTTTTTGTTTTGCTTGTGTGTGGCTTGTTGCATACATATTTTTATTCTTTAATATGTAAAATTATTATGCATTTATTAATATTTTTAGATATGGTTGAGGAAAATTTTTCTACAATAATGAATGGTGGAAGACTGGAAGTTACATTTACAAAGTAAATGCATTTAAAGAGTTATTAAGTTTGTAAAATTAGTAGGAAAACTATTCAAATTTTAATTATGGTCAATGTGAATCACGTAGTAAATGTATTTTAGTAGTCTTGAGTTATGGATTTCCTTGGTTCCGTCGATACCACACCGTCTTCGACTTCGGGCAAAGGAGGATTGGATTTGCTCGTGCTAACGTGGGTGCAGGAGCTGAAGTGCACCTATGAGCTTTCGTGTAAGGAGGATCGGGTTAGCTTATGATGCAGCGAATTATCTTTTTATTCCCGCTATGGTTTATGATAAGAATCTATGATTATGTAATATTTATGATATTTTTTTATGATTAGACTCTGCGTGTAATATTATTTATGATAAGACTCTATGTGTGTAATATTATTTATGATAAGACCGTATGTGTGTAATATTTATTACTAGGTATGTAACAAACTGGTGTGATGTTTGGTCCTTTTTCCTCCCTTTTTTTTTTATTTTCGCTGCACCTTTTTCATTTTGGTTTAGCACGTACATGAAATGCTCATAAGTCTCAATGGACTCTACATGCGGGTTACGATTTCCTCCGTTTCAAAATATCACGACAGCTTCTTAGAAAATATATGGTATCTATGTATAATCGTTGGCATGATATATGGAATAATCGATGTGAATTGTGTTAGTATATTGTGATGTTGAGTAGGTGTAACAGTTGGAACATGGACATTTACTCAGAAACAATAGATGCAGTGACAGTTTAGAGCTTCATATCACGTATGTAAACAACATTCCTCAGGAATGACTCATTTGAGCTTTAATTAATTTCGGATGACAAAAAAAAATATTATATTAAAAAATATTACAAAACAATTATTGAGATAAAAAAACAAAAAAGTACAAAAATTGAATAAAATAAATAGAATAATAAAATTTTATATAATTGTCTATTGGATTAACAAACTAAACATAATGGTGATGAATATATTAAAAATATTAGAAAACAATTATTGAGATTAAAAACAAAAAAAAATAGGTACAATTTCTTTGATAAATGTATTACAATAATTATTTCAGTTTAAAGATACATGAATGTGTAAAAAATCAACTAAATGTCTAACGTAGATATTGGAGATGGATTTTTTCAACTTGATCTCCATGTTGTGCTATTGATTGAATTGCTCTTTTTGAATCTCCATCGATAAATATGAATTTTTTTGTTATAACCATCAAAAAATTTACTATACATAATAATTTTGAATTAAAAATATGAAAATTAAAGGATATTCTAGTAACACATTAGAATTAAAAGAAAGTTAGAAAAAATGTAAAATACATACCATATCTAGACATACAATTTAGAAGCAAACTCTTATATTGATGTCTTAATTGATTTTTCAACCAATGCAACAACATAAGATTGAAAGAAAGAAAGTAGAAAATATTTATGATTTGAGATTTGGTAGATGTATATGAGAGAATGATTATTTATAGGATGAGATGATGGAAGTTATATTTAGAAAATAATTAAATTAGGGAGTTATAATTAAAATTAATAGTGTTGTTGAATGACATTGAGTGGAGACAAATATTTAATACATAATCAATACAATAAAAACACTAAGAATCTCTCCAGGCCCGACACATCAGCATTTTGGGCTCTTCTCAAGCTGACACCTCATTAAAATCATCATCCAATAAAAACATTTCGATTAATACACATCACCTCTTCAGTTTGCCACATCAGATTTCCAGCATGCCACATCAGCTTTTTATTTAAAAAATATATTATTTAAAAAATACAACCAATCAAATTAATACAATCATACACATAATAATTTTAAATTTATTGATAATGATAAATAAATTTCTAATTTGTTTAATAATTGAATATCTACAAAAAATGAAAAAAAAACTATACTCTTTATTTTTTAAAAAGTTATTTGACATCAAATGGTTTTTAGAGAACAACATGCATGAAGTGAATTTAACAAGTAGTTTACGCAGCGTGTTGCTTTAATAAATTAATTTTGTTTTAATATAAGTTTTTACGGTAAAAATGTACTAGGTTTTTTCAGATATTATTTTACATTTGCTCGTATTTTAATTGGTTTTATTTTATTAGTTTATATATGCATACACTAATGAATAATTTTTATATCTTAATGTATTTTATGTTTGTTATTATTTTATGTTTTTGTATATGTTTAACTTTTTACAAATGTTAGATGTGTTTTTATATTGTGATATATGTAAATTGGTTTCAGTGAATATTATACTCCAAAACCTTATATTATTTCTCTTAAAATTATTTGTGGTACACAAGCACAATTAGAATCATAGTTTATTCATAAGAGTCTTTTTTTTTTGTCAAAGAGTTTATTCATAAGAGTCTACGATTGCTAAATTGGTTTAAGATTTTTTTTTTCAATTCAAGAAATTCATAGCAGTAAAGAACATTACAGTCTTAGGATTGTAATCTCACACTTGTTCTATTATCCCATCTTGTTACTTCAAGATGTATGGTCAAACTTGAATCTCTATGTTCATCTTATACATGTATCTTGCTTCACTTGATCATCTACATATAAAGCGCAAAGCTTTGTTAGTTTCTGTTCAAAATTGAAATCCCTAAAGGGAAAAATGGTTAAATTATTCTATGATCGAACCATAGAGATGTGTAGCCAAGTGAAGTTTGCATTTGCAATTTGGTTTATTTTGGATTTATGCTCTTTTTGTTGTTTGTAAATTTTGGCTGAAATGTCACAAATGTTATTGATTAATTTGGTTATTATTAGTGATCTATTTTATAAGAATATATAATTCAGCATAGCAAAAATTTGAGAATTAACTTTGTATTTGTGGTTTATGTTTTGAATGAAGGTGATCTCACGCCGGCTCAAACGCTTGATCTACTCTATTCCAAGAACATTTAATGGTAAATATAAGTTAAGAGAAAGATGAGATTCCCTTAAAATGCTAAGAACATTAGATCGTCATTCTGTAACTGTTTATCTTCGAACATTCTAATTTTAAGTCACGAACCAAATTATATTAACCAATGTTTATGAATTGTTTAGCTTATTCATTTTAAAAACCCATAACAAAGTCTGGTCCATTTTTTTTTTTTCTATATTTTCATGGAATTCTCGTAATTTGTGTTTAATTAACTTTTTCTAATAATTTTCTCAAGAGAGATTGATGTCTCTTGTGGTCGACAAACTAATTGATTCCAATAGTAAAGTCAATGTAAAAAACTTAATTATGTTTGCACGTTCTTTATGTTATCTTATATCATGGATTTATGTGGATAATCTTGTTTGTATTTCTCATAGTAGAACAAAGATGAAGAGTTTGTCGTCAAGCTCTTAGACAAGTAAACAGAATTGTAATTATACCGTTTATTGTAAACATATCTTTTTTTTTAGTTTGTTGTTAACAGATTCTGTTTTTTTTCTTAAATCCTTTTTTTTAATGTAAAAATATTGCTTTAGTTTTGATTGTTTAAATAAAATAAATTTTAGAAAAATAATTTAAGTTACAATTATAATTTAAGTTACAATTATAATTTCAGTTACAATTTAGTACTTGAAAGTAGATTAATGTATATGATTAAATATGTTGTATTTATAATTTAATTGGAGATAAATATTATTATTTTTAATTTTAGTTTTTAAAATAATTGTCAAGTGGACCAATAACAAGAGAATGAAACCTTACTTTTTATATGTATGATGTAGGCCACAAGTACCTATCAGTCCCTAACTTTCTAAAATGTTTAGCTTCCCTAACTCATCGTTATGTTGTTGAAAATTGCACATTTATTTCTTAAAAATTTTAGTCCTTACCTTTTCTCTTGTTAGTTTCTTTCATCATCTTCGATTTTCTCTGGAAATTCTTGTGATAAATATTTGTGATGTCATTTCTCTTTTGGAATTCTTGTGGTCAATTTTCGTGATGCCATTTCTCATTTACTGTAGTTCCAATCCGCTGGCATTTTCTTTTCTGGTTTCACATTGAAATCTCCTTGGTTAGGATATTTAAACTTCCGGGTTCAAATTTCTGTAATTTATTCAATTTCCTATAGATTTAGCAAGCTTCAATGAATCCCTAATTCAAGACTACTTTGACATGTGAGACGCTCCTTGATCTGCACTGGACTTGCCAATTTTTGAGAAGATCGAAATGGTTGTTCCGATACACGGGGGACTCCTAATAGATATGGTTAGGCGAGAAACTCTTGTGCTCACTTAGGTCTACATTCGTAGTTTTACACTGTATTTTCCTTTCCCAAAGCTTTTGATGAGATTAATGTTCGAGTTCAAGTAAAACTCAAGTAAATTTTCGATTATTTATATAAAAAATGTATCCATATATCTTCCAAACGTTTTGCTTGATCAAGGAAAACGTGTTGTGTTTGTATCTTTTACTTTTAGCAAATCTCCCAAAATAATTTTGCTTGGATTAGTAGAATTAGTAGACTTCGTATGACTCTTTCACTATTTTGTGGGACAAAATATATATGAGAAACTTGAAGTGGTTCGTACCTACTGTCTCACTATCGTTCTCAAGGACATCCCACAAGAGAATAACTAAAAATGAAAGATCTGAAAAAATGAAAGGGTACCAAAAAAAAAAAAGACAACCTCACCGGATTGATGCTCATTCACCATCGCTGTTACAACGACAATCAAGGTTAAAAAGTAAACATTAAGCAACTGAACTTCTATATCAACAAGATAAATACAAAACAGAATATGATGTCTTACCTACACCACTAAAGAGGAGTAGTTGAGGGAGTGAATAATCTTCAAGTTTACTCGCACTTGATTGAGCGGTAAATGTGACGGACAAAGAGAAGGGAAGCACGGAATCCGATTGTCCCGAGCATGAGGAAGAATCCGTAGCAGATGCAAGCCATGTAGCCAAAGAAGAAGGAAGTCTGCATGAACCCTGACATATCCGACCGTGCATAGTAGTAATACAAGCAGTAGGCGTATATGAATAAGCCCGTTGATCCACCACATAGCAATGATCTTTGCATGCAGAAGATACAAAAGTGTCAGATGCACAAAAAAAATTAACAATTTATAGACAAACTCAAATATGGGATTCTCTTTTAGGCTAAAAGCATTGATCTATTATCACGGTTATAACTTACGGATTTAGATTTGAAAAGAATCTAAGTATTCTTACTACTATATCTGTCTTTGTTAACGGTTATGAAAATTTCTAGACAAGTAGTTGGAAACTTATTCAGATATATTCCCTGAAACTACCACAAGGTGAATAATGGAACCAGAAGTTAAAGAAAGAGAAAAGAAAACATTACCTCCACCACCACTCATGGTCTTCAGCAGCAAGTTGGAAGTAAGTCAATGCAACCGTGATGAAAGCAGTGACTATGACGAGAATAAGGAAGACGATAGACAGAATACTATAGATGGTGTATATTCTGTGACCCCAAACACTGGCAAATATGTAGTAAAGTTCGATGTAAATGGCACTGAACGGTAAAAACCCAGCCATAGCCATCTGCGGAAGTGTTCTCCGGTACCAACGCATTGGTGGGATCTCTCTTGGATATTTTGTGGTACGACAAGGAGCTTGAAACTCAGATTTTCTGTTCTTCCCAGCAATACCTCCCAGTATTAACAATGGTGAAGTAACCAGTGCCCATATAAGGAAAATAACCACAATTGTCCCAAATGGCAATGCTGCAGTGGCTTGGTAAGCAATTGCAACAGTATTAAGGAAGGAGAAAGTGAGCAAAAGAGGTCCACAGAAAAGGCTTCCAGTCAGTATAACATTCCTAACCTGTCAAGAGAATCAATATCAGCTTTCTTAATCAACCAACCTATTGCAAATGTGAACAAGATTAATGCGATGATCCATAGCTTTTCCTCAAACTCCTAAAAAGGAATGTTCAAAACTGTGAGCCAAAACTCAGCAGGCAAAAAGAAGTAGAAAACTCAAAAATCTAATTATCTCGTATGGCCTCAACGATACACATATATACATAAGTATGATACACACATATTTTCAAGATAAAAGAGAGGTAGTCAAGGAACACACAAAGTCAGTGTTGAATGCTAAACCATAATGACCACAATACTGTTTGACTACCTTATGCTAAGTATATCACTTAAACACTGTAGACAGCCACTTTTATTAGATGTGCAGAAGCAGAAACTATACCAGATGATTTCACGAAATGCTCAACGGTGGAAGACTTTTGACTGACTGTTGAGATATGATTAAAAAAGCACAATCATAAGACCCATAAACTGGCAGCCATACTTACCCAATTAGTTCCTTCTAGCTGGCAATAGAAAGAAGCAGCAGTATAGCCGGCAATCCCTGAAGTAAGTGCATATATGACCACTAATGCAGTAAACAATGCTCCACGGTTGTAGGGATAAAAGACACCAACTAACGCAAGCATGAATATGAAAACAGCTCTGCATACAATTAAAAAGATGTGTTACTGAGTGAAAACAGCATTCCAGGAAGAACACCACGAGTCCACAACTCTATGTGAAAACGTACAGTGTAAACAATTGTGTGCCAGAACCAAGGGCTGCAGCCAGTAGGGATTTGTGTTTGGGGAACCTAAATACATCACCATGGATCAATTTCCACCCAGTCTCTTCTTGGTCATCGACGGCCTCTTCATCATGTGCATACCTATGAAGTACATAAGCTACAGGGTAAGCTACTAGATATATTAAAAGTCACAAATTCAATTTTGGTATGCACTCTAGCTAATATCTTACTTAACAAAATCATTCTTCAAGACTCGCATGAGAATCGTCGCAAGGAAACCAGTCAAGAGAAGAACTGTGACACATGAGTTAATGATAGAGAACCAGTGGATTTCCAAGTGATGTGGCATTGAGGAAGCCAGTGAGTATTTCTCCATCCTTTTCTCAAATGGAATTTCGGTTTCCTTCCATCGAACTGTGTATGTGAAATCCACTTGGACTTCCTTGTCCTCAGTCAAGTCCACAAGGAAATTCTGGTCTGTTCTAACAATAATTTCAATAACACGGTCCTTATTATAGAAAATCTCAAACTGTAGATGATTAAAGAGATAATATTTATACTCGGATGGGTCAGTCTTTCCCTCCTTGACAACTTTTCCAAGGAATCCCCAGATGGGCAAGTCATCATAATACATCTGAAAGTAATAGTCTTTTTCAATCACATCACGAAACTTAGCAACATCTTCCCTACTCAACCTCTTCCTACATGCAACTTCAGAGTTCTTCTCACCCAAAAACTCAAGTTTGTACGGTGCACTAACTAACCGATCTCCATTAAGAACCTCCCCTAGAGCTTCCTTCTTCTCCTTAACAGGAGCTGTAAAAAATACGCCATAGCTATATAAACTTACAAAAAATTCACCTATGAAACTAAGCAATTTCACCATCCATACATACCTGATGAACAGAACGGAAGATCAAAGTATCGATATGTTTCACTGCAACACATTAAAAAACAAACAGTTAGCTCAAACTAACACAACAGAGTTAGTAAATCATCGAAAATCCGGTATAATAAGCATGGATTGTTACATTTCACATTTAATCAAAGATGATCTACATAAGAAGCTTAAACTACACTAACCACCAACAACATTCACTAATTCATATAGACCTACGAATTTGTAATTCCAATTCTCACTGTCCAGTCATTACGAATCCTAGCTCAAAACTGTTATTATTCAGGTAATCAAAATTCAAATTTGAATCAATTCGAATCAGAAACGCGAAGAACCGAGAGATCTCAATGCAATTGAAATCAAAATTCAGAAAAACGTGAAATCAGTGAAAATCGAAAGCTCAGATCTGAAGAGTGTGAATAAGATTAGCGCACAGACCTGGGATTATGAAACGGACCGACTTTGTTAGCGTAAAGAGGAACATCATCACCGACCTTGTAACGGTGATCGGAGCCGTCGGAGATAACCGGAGAAACGCCGTAGAGGAAGAAGAAGAATAGAAGAAGCGACGTCATCGAAGATAGTAGTACCATTGGAGATTAGAGAGAGAGAGAGGTTTAAGCGGTTGGGTCGATGATGATCAAATTCATGATAATTTTTTTTCTCTGCTTTGCAAGTCGTGAAATTTACACTTTTGTAACGAAAACCACTTTTTGTCACTTTTCGTCTTTTATTATATTTTTATTTTTTGAATTGAAAATTTGAGAGTATCATTTATAAATTATTATAGTATTTATTTTTTAAAATTCGATTTTTATATTAACGATAATGATATTTTAACTAGGGAAAATTAGGTGTTGGGATTAGAGGAAATTAAGAGTAAAGGACACGTTGCTTCAAAGAGAAGTGTTACATACTATTATGAATTAGACCATTTTGTTAAACGTTAAGTTTTCCGTATTAAGGCATCAAGTCGAAGTTATCAAACGTTTAAAAAATCTTCGACTTAAAATGTTCTAATTCATTATACAACCTTGATGGTTTTGAATAAACTACTATTTCAAGTAGAGAGTACGCCCGATGAAACTGAGACCGGCTAAGTTATTTATGTACCAAACTATATTTTGATTTTAAAGACGAAATAGATTGCATGATTAGAGACTTATCTCACACTATACAAAAAGTTGACGGTAACACATTTGTACAAAAGAAAGGAAGTCGTCAAGAACATGAAATGTGGAGTATCTCAGAACTAGAAAACTATTGCAGCTAACCCTATTGTACTGAACTTGCGCCTTCAAAAATAATCCTGATTGATTTCATGTTGATTACTATTTTATTGCAAATTCATGATCATAATAACAAAGATGAATTGTATTAAAATTATGATTCACGTAACAAAATAGAGATTAATTGTTTACCTACATGAATTTGGTATCTTTTAAAATCACGAGTTTAAGAGTGTCTTTTGAGGTCTTGCTTATATAATATGGAACCTAGACGAATTCTTCTTCAGTCCTAACATGTCTCATACCATTTATATCTAAACCATGACCAAATAAGTCTTTGAGATTGTAGATAACTTCAATGTCTAATACTTTATGGTTGTCTATAACTATGAACAAAAACAGTTTTGAAAAGTATGAAAAAACTAATAATTAAAATTCGTAAACTAACCTCATAAACACCATATATATTTGCAAAGAAATAATTTTTGTTTGAGTTAATAGCATATTTCAATAAAATAGACTACAAGTGTTGTGTTGCCTTCAGGCTCCTCAGCTCTAGGATCAGTTCCTTCAAGCAAAATAGGGAGACTGCTATCATCTTGGATGTTTGGGATAACAAGCTTATGTACAACGGAGCATCCATTGCTGTTGTCTAAGAAGTTCCAGACCGATGCTATACTCGACCATAGTATAACCGGTGTGCAACCCATGCGTAACATATACATGTCTTGTTGATAATGTTTAGTAGTATCTATATATACATTTTCGGAGACATTTTATAAATAAATCCTGGAGTTTCAACTTATTTACGATCAAATGCCATTGACATTAATTATTTAGATTTATAAAATTAATATAAAAATATTGTTTCCAAAAATCTTAACCTAATATATTAATCATAACTAACCCTTGCTAGAATTACATCCATATTCAATTCGATTTTCTTAAAAGATCTCAACAATCCCTACATTTAATCGTGGTCATTCAAATCTTAATCCGGTTTTTAATCTTCAATCTTGACTGTCGGTCATACGCAACTAATTCGGAAATCATTATATGGAATTAATTATTATTAACTAAATAATTATGCATCCAAATCGGGTACATAAATGAGACCGGAATCTTCTATAACTATTACCGAGATTTTGGGAAATTTAAACACTTAACAAAATTTATAAATTTCAAAATAATAGTTATTGCATAAAATTTTTAAATTATCTTTACGTATCTGTTTTTAAAATTAATCAAAACACTTTTTCTAGAAAAAATAAATTATAATCGATTACGTTAGTAACTATATTTTGGTTTTTCCTTATAGTTACATTAAATTTCTTATTTTCACGTATCAAATCTTCATATTAAAGAGAAATTTCCCTACTCTCACAAATAGCATAAAATATTAATAAGATTCTTTCTTATCAAACCGATTATATGCGTCTATAAAAGAGAGCTTAGAACGAACACATTAGCTCCAAGTTGCATAAAAACATCTTCCTCCAAAACAATTAAAATGGCTGCTCCTTTTGAGTTCACTTATTTTAATTAAAGACTTAATTAAAAAAAGATCATAAGAAATGGTTAAATCTAACTATATTTTAGTATCATCTCGTCACCGTTATTGAAAAAAGATCGGTTAGTATGATTCTATGATTTTAACCGATGAAAGCACTTTAAGTCTTTTGTTTTATTTACAAATAATTAACGTATATAACATGTAATATATATATATATATATATATACAACTAGATATGGACCCGTGCGTTGCGCGGGTTGCCGGTCGAGATTATCATTCTTAACATTTTTATTTTATTTTTGTAAGCTTAACTAAAATTCTATAAACATATATATTTTAGAAAATGCAGCATAATTATTTCTAAATATAGATTTATTAGCATAATGCGCAATATAAAACATTATTTGTAGTTATGTTATACTAATTATTAAATCATCTAATATAAATGTTGGTCTATTTATAAAATTATATAATTTTTTGCTTATTATAAGTTATGAAGTCATAAATATTCATATGTTGTATTATTTGAATTTTAATAAGTTATTTACATCCATCAGAAGAGTATGTTACATCTTATAATTTCAATGTGGCCAACATGGAAACAAAACAATGACAATAAGAAAAGATAAAACTAAATAGTTACGTAAATATATGAACGATATATTTATAATATTTAACATATAGTATGAGATACGTAAATATATGATTTTGTTTAGAAAAGTTTGACGTCATAATAAAATTGTGACAATAAAAGAAGAGAAAATATGAGACCGTCTATATTCATGTCATGTAACTTTACTTGATAATATGAAATATCCTCAACAGAAAGAGAAAGAGAAAACCTTATAAGGAATTAGAGAATATACATTAAACAACTTAAGACTAAAAAAAAATTAAAAAAATAATATCAGACTAATCATTATCTATTTGCTACATGACTTTTGTCAATTTTTTTGCTCATATTATTAATTTCTTCGTTTTCTCTTCTTTCTAATTTTCAAATCTCTATGTTTCTCTCATTAGATTTCTCTTATTTTTGTTCGAACTCCTCTTTCTTTCTCTTTCTCTCCCTCTCGTCGGATTTATTCACCACCATATCTTTCTTTATTTTTTCCCTATCTACATTTCTCGCATTTGTCGGGAATCACCACCGAGTCTCACTACTCTGACCCACCACCACAACTAAATCTCACTACTATCACAATCACCACCACCACAAATACCGAATCTCGCTAATTCCGACTCACCACCTTCATCAATATTTACCGCCGCTACCACCACCAAGATTGAACCACCATCACCAATACCACTTACCATCTCTTATCCTCTCTTCGTAACTTCTCTTATTACTCCACCTTCTTTATCTCCTCCGACATTGGACCAAACCTCTCCGACAATAACTATAGTCTATGTCTATCGCCGTTCATCATTACTAATTTGCCTCAATTGCCATATATTCATTAGATCTGAATATCACATGCTATTTTTAGAAAAACATCGTGATTCAAAATATTTTTTTTATAATTGATATGATATAACATCGTTAAGAAATTAGTTTGCTTGATGAGAAAATATGAGACAATCTATTTGTTTATTTAAAGGTGACTATTTACAATCTTTTTTCTTATAGGATTAATAATTGATTGTATAATTTTATTAATTTTTTTTTCTATTTTAAATCTTTTTCTTGAAAAACCCTTATGGAAATATATGTACAATTTCTTTATAATTAGCTTTCTAAAAACAAAATTTTTTTTGCTAGATGGCAAAAATTCTTATGGAAATATATGTACAATTTCCTTATAATTAGCTTTCAGAAAACAAAATTTTTTTTGCTAGATGGCAAAAATTCTTATGGAAATATATGTACAATTTCCTTATAATTAGCTTTTTACATTTTAAAACTGCTTAAATTTATAATTTTTTATAATTATCTTTTTACTTTTTCTTTCTTTTTAAAAGGAAAAATTTATTTGACACATGTCAAAATCTCAGATCAAAAAATTTGACACGTGTCACGATCTCGTGAGTTATTAACTTTGAAAACCATACTTTATATAATAAGATATTACATATACATAAATATAGACAATTTCATCTTTTCTTTTCGGTTTAGTTATTTTAATTAATGTTGTTCTTCAATTACAATCTAACTACTTAATTTTCGTGATTGTAGGGTTCCAAAATTCAGCTTTGAGTGAAGAAAAGATTATTATAAACGATTTGAGTGCTAAAGTTTTGTCAAGCAAGAATCAGAGAATCATACTAACCAATCCTTTTTCAATAACGATGACGAGATGATACTAAAATATAGTTAGATTTAAGACTAACCATTTCTTATTGTCTTTTTTTAATATTAAAAAATCTCAATATTTGCTCTTTTTTTTTCTTCTATACCCTAAGATTTGAGTGATAAAAGAGAGAAAGACAAAAGGTGAGAAGATTCAAAGAACAAGATTAAACAAGCAAATTACCGTGACTAGAAATTTGATGTCTATATGTACTATTTAAGTGTAAGGCAACAAACTGTATTGAATATCTTTTATTTCATTTTACATGTCTATATTTATCTCTTTATCTTTTCTCTTAAAGTTTTTGTCTTGTCTCTTATGAATTACATAAGAAAAATATTTGTATAACAAATGAACTTTCTGTTCCAAAAAAAAAAAACAAGTGAACCCTAAACATTCAGTACCAAGATTTATGTTAACCAAATTGTGAATCATTTTTATTTACTCACATTTAATTTTTATAATTATTTTTAGCATGATCCATAAATATAATATTTTTTCAAAATAAACAAGTAGAATATTATCAATATATTATGCATAGATATAGTACACATAAAACGTTTAAAGCATTTATGATATTTAAATTATATACAAAGTATAATATTAATAATATTTGAACTCTATAAATTTATATATATATA